ACACCCCACCGACCCCCCCCCCCCCCTTTTGCAAGAGAATCACAGTGCCTGCTATAGCAGCAGCTGCAGTGCGGGCAAAGACCCCCCCCCGGCCATCGCGTGCAAGCGATGATCTGCAGGAACACCCTCCCCCCACCCTGGATTTTTTTGTTGCTTGCAATGTGGCCCGTGGTTGTGTGCATGTGCGTGCGCAAGCGAGCAAGCAAGGGCAGAGCCAGGGCAGGCTGCGGCCGCCCCCCCTCCACCCCACGCCGCCTTCCTTCCTCCCTCCCCGGCACATTCACCTATAATAATAGACATCGCTCTTGCCAGCGGAGAGCCCCGATTTCCTGGTCACTTCTTCCCTTTTCCATCCCTGGGGGAGAGCAGAGCACTCCCACCTCTTCCTATCCATCGCCTCCCCAGGGCCTGGCTCCGTTTCATTCCAGCCGCCGCCGCCGCCTCCTCCTCCTCCGGCCTGCCTGCTCGGTCCAAGCTCTCTTGCAGCCAGGGCTGCGGTGGATGTGTCGCTGCTGCTCCTGGCTGAGGGTGCAGGCCGGCTGTGGCCGCTGCCGCTGGTGGCTGGCGTTGCGAGGTGGCTGGCAAGGCCAAGGGGGGGCACCGCTGTGGCTCCCTTGGCTGGCAGGGCCCGGCTGTTCCCAAGCGCCTCCCTCGGCTAGGGAATGGAACGTCGCGTCGGCTCTTCCCTCCGGCGGGCCGTCCACCTCAGCCTCCTTCCTCTTGCAGCAGGGGGCGCTGTCCCCGTCTTACCACCCCCGCCGTCCGTCAAGCCTCCTCCCAGGCCGCGGCTGTTCCCGGCAGAGCGCTCCCCTCCCTCCGCCGCCAGGCGATTCATTCTTCCTTTCAACGATCCCCGCTCCTTCCACGTCTCCCCCCCCCCCGCTCCCTCCCCCCACCCGATCGCAGACGCGCACGCCTCCCCCCCCCACACATGTAGAGCGGGAGCGCGCAGGGGCAGCCGTTGGTTAGCGCGCTTAAAAAAAAAAGAGAGAGAGAGGCTAACTTCGGCTCCCGCCAAATTGAGGGGGAGGGCAGAGAGAGTGCTTCGACCCGATGTCCTTCCGCCTTGCAGAAAGCAAAACATAGTCCCCCCCCTCCTTCTCCTCACGAGGGGGGAGGGAAAAAAAATCGATTCTCGCCACAGACACGTGACTCGCCACTCACACCTGGCCTCGTAACCCTTCAGGGCGCCGCGCACGCGCGCAGGCCTGAACGTCAGAACGCACCCCCAGACACGCCGGTGTGCTTAATGCTCACCTGGTCGGTCGGTCACGCCCTCCCATAGGTTGACCCACGGAACTAAGGCTGCGCCCCCCACATCACACTCTTCCCCCAGCCCCCGCCGCGCTCAGAAAGCGCCCCTCAAACCGGGCAAAAAGAAAAAACGACTTTCTCGCCAC